GTGACGGAAGGCCGTGGAAGGTGAGGGCAACATAGTAGTAGGAGGAGGAGTATCAACAACCTATCATACCTTCCCCTACAACAAGACATCTCTGACGCCATCTCAGAAAGTGTCATCAATAGTGAGAGAGCTCCTACTGTTATTCATCCAGGCTAGCGTTTATCTCCCGACGGTGCAGGAGCAGACACGAAGGGAACGTCATCCTGTATCTCCACCAACATGTACATCAAACGCTTGTTCTTAGTCTCTAGCCTGACGACCAGGGTGTAGGTCACCACCGCCAACACAACGGAAGACATGCTAAGGAACGCCGCCGAGTCGAATGCCTTTCCCCACAGCAAGATAGAACACAGATAAACGGCGATTACCTGAGGCTCATCAACTAGTGCCCACATGCTGAGGAATGTTCCAACTTACCGCGAGGGCCTCGCCGATGTTTTTAAGAACAGAATCGAGACTTCGCAATAGGTACATCGTACACCAGCCTTTGATCGTAAAGCTGATAGTGACCAACAAGGTAGACCAAGTCCAACCGTGGAAGAAACCAAACTGGGTCAGCTCTCCCTGAATAAAAGAAACGTTGAACAATTGCAGGGCGTGCGTGCAACAGCAGGAGCGTCCCCACCTCCCAGTCGAGGGCGTATGCCAGGGCTACACAAGTCGTGAACCAAGCGATCTTATACTGAGCCATCTGTATATAAAAGGGAACGTCCGAAAATTGCTTCATGTACTTATCCGCCAACACTGCACATAAGCACGATATCGTTACCTGTGTACATTACTCGGGCCTTGACTTTCAGTAGGCTACTGACTACCTTGAACATCACATACCCTATACCCAACAGTTTACTAAATAGACTCTCTTGTGGCTGCGATACGTAGTAGCTGGCCTCACTACGAGTACTGTTGTTGTGGTCTTCGAGGACAAACGTGCTCATGGAGGCTACTATCAAGGCGAGGACCTAGGACTCACTCTTCACTGCGGTAACGATACCACACTCCCCACTACTTACCACCCACTCCAGGGCCGTCTGGTTGTGGCCCTTCACAGCCCACAGCGTTATGGCCGTCACGATGAGCTTGGACTGGCCAAGGACTTGATACACCGCGCCGTCCATAGCCGACATCGACTGCATCTCTAGGATATCCCCAATGGCAAAGAACACCCCGATGAGAGAGAAAACCTGAGGGATGGAACCCATGCGAACTGACGAACAGTAGGGTGAGTACTTTGAAAGACTGTGGTGCCAGGCACTTCCGCAGCCAGTCAGGCCCCTCAAGGGAGTAAGCCATGTAAATCCCCACTATAAAGGTAATCACACATTCCATCACGATTGGAGTTGCTTTATT